AAACATTTTTTAAAAATTAACAATTACATTGAATTTTACAAATTTAAAAATATATACTTGGATGCTTTTTTAAAAAATATATTTCTTTATTGATTTCAGAGAGGAAGGGAGGAGAGAGAGATAGAAACATCAATGATGCAAGAGAATCATTGATCGGCTGCCTCCTGCACTCCCCGCACTGGGGATGGAGCCCGCAACCCAGGCATGTGCCCTTGGCTGGAATCGAACCTGGGACCCTTCAGTCCACAGGCTGACACTCTATCCACTGAGCCAAGCCAGCTAGGGCACTTGGATGCTTTTTAAAAAATAATTAAGATAGTCCAGCCACTGTGGCTCAGTGGTTGAGTGTCGAACTCTGAACCAGGCGGTCAGGGTTGGTTCGACTCCTGGTCAGGACACATGGCCAGGTTGAGGGCTCGATCCCCAGTGTGGGGTCTGCAGGAAGCAATGGATCAATGATTCTCTTTCATCATTGATGTTTCTATTTCTCCCTCCCTCTACCTTCCTCTCTAACACCAATAAAAATTCTATTTTAAAAAAATAATTAAGATAAAATTATTTTAAAGTATAATTTTTTGAAAGTATTATCATCCCGAAATTGTATCTTGCAAATTGTGTCTTATTACCACTCCCATATATTCAGGATGAGAAGCAAAACAAATAAAATGAAACAGAACAAAACAAAACATAGCTAAAATCTAGGGGAATATAATCTCTAATGAAACAAGATGTTAAAAAAGTCTTGAGTTTATATTGGTGGTAGAAAAGGCAGGTGGGAAAAGTAGATGAATACATACATACAATTTAAAGTTGATCCAAAAATCTTAGTGCAGTCTATAACATCAATCAGTAGAAATACAATGGTTGCCAAAATTTTATAATGACTACTAACACTAACCAAAATAAAAGATGCTATTCTCCTTTCTGTTAGTCCCCTTTTTCTACATCTGTAATAATAAAAGCGTAATATGCAAATCGACCCAACAGCCAAACAGCGGAATGACCGTCCAGATGACCACGCTATGGCACTCACTGGCGCCAGGCCAGGCCAGGCAGGTACGATGCAATTGGTCAGGGGCCTGGCCATTGCCCCACAATCGCCCCTCAGAGAAAGAAAGGCCCAGGCCACTGACTGGCGGGGAGATCCATCGGAGGGCTCCGTAATTGCCCCAAACAGGAGGCCCAGGCCACCCTCTGTGGGGCAATTGATTGGGGGGCTCTGCAGAACCGGGGAACCAAGGGTGTGTGGCCGCGGATGCAGTGCAGGCGGGGCCGCGGGGCCATAAGGCAGCCGAGGCTGGGAGGCAGCTGGGGCTGTGAAGGCCTACCCTTGTACCAATTTTGTGCATTGGCCTCCGGTATGTGATAATTAGCAGTAAAATTGAAGACAACAACAAGAAAATAAGTGATCTTGGAAAATCCATTAAATTGATCACCATTTTCTAACAGTTGTTTACTGGTTGTGTGGTAACATTTTTTTCCTTGCCTTCCTGTAGGTTATGCACTGTGTTATATTTGTCTTGGGTAAAACATCTAGCATATCATAGGAATTTCAAATAGCAAATGATAAGGTGATTGTTTTTTTTTTTTTAAATATATTTTATTGATTTTTTTACAGAGAGGAAGGGAGAGGGATAGAGAGCCAGAAACATCGATGAGAGAGAAACATCGATCAGCTGCCTCCTGCACACCCCCTACTGGGGTTGTGCCCGCAACCAAGGTACATGCCCCTGACCGGAATCAAACCTGGGACCCTTGCGTCCACAGGCAGACGCTCTATCCACTGAGCCAAACCAGTCAGGCAGGTGATTGGTTTTGATTACCTATGTATCTTAATAGCCCTAACAAATAGTGCATAACATCATTTCTTTTTCCCAAAGGAGGAAGAGAAATATAGATAAAAGCAGCTTAAGTGGTTGAGTTATATAGCATGGTCATTAAATCTTTTCTAAATAAATAGCCTTTTAAAGAGTTGGCAGTCTTATGAAAAGAATGAGAGTTCTGATGAGGAAACCTGGATTTTTTTCTCAGCACTATGTGAATATATATTCTTGAGGAAGTTACTGAAAACCTCCCTGTGCTTACTTAACAGTAAAATAAGATGATAGGATTAAATGATCTCAAAGCTCCTTTTCAATTCAGGTAGTCTGTGAAATAATAATGGTACCTAAGACATAGCACTTAGCATGTGTCAGACCCTGTGGGACATTATCACTTTCAGAGTTTTACATGGATTGTGTAATTGTTAACCCTGTGAAGCATGTACTACTATTAGTTGGATTTTATGAGAAAAGTGAAGCTTAGCAATTTAAGTTTCTTAAAGAATTTCATGCCTGGGAGCAGCAAAGTTGCATTTTTAAAGGAGTTCTGATTTCTGAGTTTACCAGCTTAAGGGTCATATTCTACATTCTCCCCGAAACATTATTCACAAGCCAGTTAATGAAAGATCAGAGAGAGGCCGAAAACCAGGATACAGCCTTTATTAGAGGAGAAGGACCTTCCGGGCTGTCTCGCAAGGGGAGAACAGCAGCATGTGCAGAGGTGAGCACGACTTTTGAGGGGCAGCATGGGAAGGAATGGGGGCTTAGTGTACTCGGCGCATGCTGATTGGTGGCTTAATGTATGGTCCATATAGGAACAAGGGCTTAGGGCAGTGATGGCGAACCTTTTGAGCTCAGCATGTCAGCATTTTGAAAAACCCTAACTTAACTCTGGTGCCGTGTCACATATAGAAATTTTTTGATATTTGCAACCATAGTAAAACAAAGATTTATATTTTTGATATTTATTTTATATATTTAAATGCCGTTTAACAAAGAAAAATCAACCAAAAAAAATGAGTTCGCGTGTCATAGGTTCGCCATCACTGGCTTAGGGTATTTGGCAGGTGTGGATTGGTGGTCCAATGTATAGTCCATATAAGGTACATAGTTAGTCACTCAGGTATTTCTGGGCTGCAGGTTACGTCATACTCCGCCCACCTTTTGGGGGGAAGGGAGGATCTATCAGTTAAGACTCAGGAAGTCACAAGTGTGTGAAACCTGCCTTCTTTCAAATTTTACTTTCCCTCTGTTTTTTTTGCTCCACTCAACCATACTTCCTCCTTGGTTAGCATTTTCCGTCTGTTCTCACTCTTTAGTGTAAACAAGACAGTGGCACACCTTCTAATGGACTATTTCTACTATTTTCTAGAGACTGCCCATGCAGTCATTGAACGTGGATCAGAGGGAAGTTTCATGGATATTATAAATGAACAGTCAAGGGAGAGTCTTTTGTAGCAAAATTATAGGAGTGTCTCCTTAGGTCAAAGTCAAAGTAAGGATGAATTAACTCCCAAAGCAATTTTGAAAAGGTGAAATTCAATGATATTGCAGTTGTTGGACCAGGTGTTAAAATGTTATTGGGTGTTAATTTAATTTTCATCCTGTCAACACTCATCTGAACTGTAACAGCTGCTAAACACGGTTCCACAAGAGCAAACCATCCTCACAGAGGAAGCAGATGCCTAATCAATAGGGCCAATAGAAATGTATGGCTCAGCTAAGCAACCTGCACAAAGGGGAATGAATCCCATAGGACTCTGTCTTACCTGAATGGAAAAGAATTTTAAAGATAGTGAGGCTATTCAAGCAGTAAGAACAGGAGACTGAAAGTCTTAGGTTGGCTTCCTATTGACTTTTTTTTTTTTAATTCTGCATGAACTTGGATTAGAAAATGCCTTGGTTTCCTCTGTCCTTAGCTTTCAGAGATATTGAGGATGTTGTTTCAAGTGTATTGCTGTTGACGACTGGAACCTGGATTCTTTGTCTGCCGGAGTTGGAGAATGAATCCACGGACAGAAGGTGGTAGAGCAAAGGTGGAGATTTATTGAAGGACAAGTACAGACTCGCACGTGGGGAGAGAGAAAGAGTCCCACTGAGTTTCTTTTCCTAAGGCTTATAAAGGCTGCAGATCTTAGTGCCTTGATATCCCCTGATTGGTCACCATTCCGACTGGTTACTATAGTAACTCCTGAGCTCAAAGGTCAAACTTCACATGGGACACCCCTTCACCCCCTTCCTTATTGTTTTCCTATTCCCTTTGGTCTTTCTCCTCCTGTTGGATGAAGGGCTTCCTTCCTTTTATTTTGTAAATATAGACCTTTTGCTTTTCCCAGCTCCCTCATTCTATGGAAATGCACCTGTTGCAGCTTTTCAGCTTCCCTGTTCTATGGAAATATACCTTCTGCTGCTCTGCAGCCCTGTGCTTCTTCCATAGTCCTCTTAATTTCTAAAATTTCCTAAAACCCGTCTTTTTCACCCCAAAATTCCTGTTTCACTATCTTTACTGCTATTATCATCCAACATACCTTGCACAATTCAGAATAAAAATCAACTTAAGAGAACTACCTTCCTTTAAGTCCTAACATTTAAGAGATCATGAGGATGATGGAGTATTTAACAGCTGTTCTTCATTGCATCCTTGGGTGAATAGGAACAGATGACATAATTTGAAGAGGCATTTAGGATTTGAATACTTTCTTGACTACTATACTTACTAATATAGTACAACATGTAATTTCACATTCTGGAGATTTTCAAACAGAAGGGTAGATTTCTCTGTCTATGCCAATTGTAATGTTACCTAGGAACTGTGGTTTGGCTATACTACCTCTTAAGGTTGATTATGCCATTAATTTAATCATTTCTATGTAAGTTAGTATGTCTCATTTAGAATATCACCATTTTTATGCATCTCAGACTTGGCTATAAATCCTTCTGGGATTATGTGGTGATATGCCAGGGATTCTCTGAATTATCCTGAACAGGAGAGTTAAGGTACCCTGGAACTTCAATATTATGAGGTTTAAGAATATTTTAAATAAGTGAAAAAATTAGATTTAAAGGAGTAGAATGCAAATTTTTCATGGATATTAACATTATGCATCTTTTAAACAGTTTGAATATTGAGATAAACCTCTTTGGCTTACAAAACACACTTGGCAATTATTCTCCTTTTAGTGATTATCAGGAGAAAGGTTCACTATGGCTGCTTGACAGGTATGTACTCCTGGAGGAGATCTTTGATTTTCATGGGCTTGTTCAATGTCAAATAAAGTAAAAAACACAAAACAGAGAAACACCTGTCCTCTACTTAAAATTTCACAGTGTTTCTATTGTTCTTTACCTTCTTCTCTCAACTCCTAAAGAAAGTAAAAGCTTTAAGGAAGCATGCAGGGGGGTTATTTTATCCTATGTTGGAACAGGGGTTCTGTGCCCTTAATGTGTAAAAGATATTAGTCTTCAGAAAATAAAATAATTGAGGCATTTGGACTGATTAACTGGCCTTTTATATTTTCTGGATCTGAGTTATAATTGGGGAGAATTCAAAATACTATCAGGGGCACATTGGGAATTTTTTGTCATGAAATTCTTATCCCAAACATAAATGCAAATAAGGCAGGTTAGCGGAATTGAGCCAGGCTTTTAATAGAACAATAATTTTTAAATGGCTCTTTGGAGCTCTTAGTAGATAAACAAAATGTAAAAGTAAGAATTATATTTCTTAGCATTTATCTGAAACTGGGGACAAAAGCCACTATTGCTTACATTAGCACGACAACATACTAAATGGTTCCCGTTTTGTGTTAGGTATTTGAAAAGCCTAAAATTTGGTTCAGGAATACAATATCAGGAATTCTTTCTTTATTTCCTGTTTCCTCTTCCCTTCTCATCTGTCTTTCTTTGCCCTCATCCCTTCCCCCTACTGGTAAGAAATGAATGTAGATAAAACACTTTGACGAATGGATTTTGTACAAATTCAGTGAAAAAGATGCACTTACAAGTTAAATCAGGTTTCTCAGTGTGTTAACACATTATCAAATTCATTTATAACCTGTATTCTCTTGGCTGTAAATGAATTTCATTATAGAATTTATATAAAATAGATAATAGATTAATGAATGTTATTATTTCTTTACTTTCACTAATTAGGTTATTACTAAGTGAGATCAGCTAAATTCTGAAGCTTTTAATGAAAGATTGATGTAGCTTTTGTGAGCCCTTGAAATCTTATTTCTTTGTTCTATTACTGTAATATATATCTGCTTTCATCATTAACACTTGATATTTAAATCAAATTAGAGGGTACTTTTAGTGAAATGATCAGCCTTATAAAATTTGTGAAAATAGTTAAAACGAGTCAGTCTGGAACCCCCCTCATGGACTGGATGCCAGAAACAATCAGCATTCGGGAGCTAATGAAGTTTTTCTACTAAAGAAGGGGGGTTAGCTGGGAGAACCAAGATGGCGGCATAGGTTAACGCCGGAGTTTGCTGCTTTGAACAACTACTTCAAAAGTGAAACCAAAAAACGGAAGGGACATCACCCAGAACCACAGGAACGCTGGCTGAGTGGAAGTCCTACAACTAGGAGGAAAGAGAAACGCATACGGACACTCAGAGGAGGCGCAGTGCTGAAGTCAAATTCTGAGGTGCGGAGTGCGCCGAGCGGGCTGGCGGCGGCGGGCGCTGTTGGCGTTTTCAATCGGGAGGGAGTCGCAGACTCTGAGCTCCAGATCCGGGCGAGTCTCTAGGGACCCTGACTCAAACGGGAGAAGCGGGACTGTCTGGCTTTGGTCAGAGCGAGTGCAGCTTTCTCTCTGAGCTTTGCAGCGGGTGCTGGGACTCAGAGAGGCAGAGCCCCTGGGGACAGGACTGAGAGCCGCCATAACTGCTCTCTCCGGCCCACCCTGTTGATCCTGTGCGACCCGCCCCCCCCAAGCCCTGCACACAGGCATTTGCCGGATAGCCTCAGGCAAAGGCTAGATTAGCACCTCCCTAGAGGACAGAAGTTCTCTCACTGCTGACACAGCTGATTCTCATAGCCACTTGGCCTGGAGGTCAAACCCTCCCTGGAATTAGCTACAACAATCAAGATTTAACTATAAGACTGCGAACAAAGACCACTAGGGGGTGCACCAAGGAAGCATAACAAAATGCGGAGACAAAGAAACAGGACAAAATTGTCAATGGAAGATATAGAGTTCAGAACCACACTTTTAAGGTCTCTCAAGAACTGTTTAGAAGCCGCCGATAAACTTAATGAGATCTACAAGAAAACTAATGAGACCCTCGATCTTATATTGGGGAACCAACTAGAAATTAAGCATACACGGACTGAAATAACGAATATTACACAGACTCCCGACAGCAGACCAGAGGAGCGCAAGAATCAAGTCAATGATTTGAAATGCGAGGAAGCAAAAAACACCCAACCGGAGGGGCGGAATGAAAAAAGAATCCAAAAATGCGAGGATAGTGTAAGGAGCCTCTGGGACAGCTTCAAGCGTACCAACATCAGAATTATAGGGGTGCCAGAAGATGAGAGAGAGCAAGATATTGAAAACCTATTTGAAGAAATAATGACAGAAAACTTCCCCCACCTGGTGAAAGAAATGGACTTACAGGTCCAAGAAGCGCGGAGAACCCCAAACAAAAGGAATCCAAAGAGGACCACACCAAGACACATCATCATTAAAATGCCAAGAGCAAAAGATAAAGAGAGAATCTTAAAAACAGCAAGAGAAAGAAACTCAGTTACCTACAAGGGAATACCCATACGACTGTCAGCTGATTTCTCAACAGAAACTTTGCAGGCCAGAAGGGAGTGGCAAGAAATATTCAAAGTGATGAATACCAAGAACCTACAACCAAGATTACTTTATCCAGCAATGCTATCATTCAGAATTGAAGGTCAGATAAAGAGCTTCACAGATAAGGAAAAGCTAAAGGAGTTCATCACCACCAAACCAGGATTATATGAAATGCTGAAAGGTATCCTTTAAGAAGAGGAAGAGGAAGAAAAAGGTAAAGATACAAATTATGAACAACAAATATGCATCTATCAACAAGTGAATCTAAGAATCAAGTGAATAAATAATCTGATGAACAGAATGAACTGGTGATTATAATAGAATCAGGGACATAGAAAGGGAATGGACTGACTATTCCTGGGGGGGAAAGGGGTGTGGGAGATGCGGGAAGAGACTGGACAAAAATCGTGCACCTATAGATGAGGACAGTGGGTGGGGAGTGAGGGTGGAGGGTGGGGCGGGAACTGGGAGGAGGGGAGTTATGGGGGGAAAAAAAAGAGGAACAAATGTAATAATCTGAACAATAAAGATTTAATTAAAAGAAAAATAGTTAAAACAAAGTTTATAGATTTTTTTATTCTTTCTCTTTCAACTAAAAGGCTTTAGAAAGAGAAGCAAACTCCTTACAGCTCTTTACTCTGTTTCCAATGACTTAAGTTAAAAAATTAATAATTTCAGGTGTCACTATTTTTTTATTTTTAAAAAAATATATTTTATTGATTTTTTACAGAGAGGAAGGAAGAGGGATAGAGAGTTAAAAACCTCAATCAGCTGCCTCCTGCACACTCCCTACTGGGGATGTGCCCGCAACCAAGGTACATGCCTTTGACCGGAATCAAACCTGGAACCCTTCAGTCCGCAGGCTGACGCTCTATCCACTGAGCAAACCCGTTAGGGCAGGTGTCACTTTATTATGACCATGCTGTCAAGTAAGTAGTGTGGTTGTGTAAGAGAGTAGAGTTAAAAATAAGAGACAAAGGAGGAGATTGGGAGAATGCCAGCAAGACACTCTATGAAAACACCTGTGAGATTTAGACATGATTTAGATTTTAATTGATTAGTTCACATTAATAACTTAGTGGGGAAGATACTAACATTCATGTCTTCACTTATTTTTATATATATAATTTATATAGGTTTGAGGGTTTATTGTAAATTTTTTAATATAAGGTTATCATACAAATAATTATTCATTGCCTTTCTTTCAGGGAACCTGAGTTCAAATACACCACTTAGTAAATGTACTAACATACACTTATCCTTTAAGTTTTATGCTTAAATTTTAGAGTAGCTTATTTTTTTCTTTTAGAATAAGGTTGAGTTCTTTTTTAACACCTATAATGAATCATTTAGTGTTTACTGTCTTCTTCAGTGTACCTCTATGCTAATTATAGTACCTGGTACATGATTCTCGAACTTAATTTGTTCTGGAAGGCTGTCCGAAAACCAAATCATTTTTTCCCACTAGAAATAATGTAAATTGAATTAATCCGTCCTAGACCCCCAAATGATTCCCTGTTTTAATCTCTCTTATATTACAGTACATCGTCTCATGTACTGTTTAATCTATAAATAAACACTTTAAAAACAAAAAGGAGCCCTAGCCGGTTGCTCAGTGGTTAGAGTGTCAGCCCCATCAGGAGCATATACCTTGGTTGCAGGTTTGATTCCTGTCCCGAGTCGGGGAACATGAGGGAGGCAACCAATCGCTGTGTCTCTCACATGGATGCTCCTCTCTCTTTGTCTCTCCCACTCCCTTCCACTCTCTAAAAATCAATGGCAAAAATATCCTCAGGTGAGGATGAACAACAACAAAAATAAATAAATAAAAACAAAAAGGACATGAAATGTAAATAAAGATTTAACAAAAAGGAAATGAAATGTACAGTAAAAAATGAAAATTTAATAAGCAGAAATAAAAGCAAAAAAAAGCCATGAAAATATTCACAGCACAATTTCCTGAGATATTAACAACATGAGCGTTAGCAGGAAAACTGACTCATACTCGGGCATTCTCTCTTTTGTAGCCTGAGAGATGTGGGACTGATCATACAAGCGTCAGCGTGAAAGGGTTGTCAGGTTGAGAAGGGAATTGTTGGCAATGGGAGACATTTGAGAACCGAGGTTTGACTGTACTCCTTTATATTTATTTGAAACAGCTAATCTGCATTTGCTAGTTGAAAAAACAACACAGAGATTAAGATTTGCGCAGGATCTCATGATCTCTTAAATCTCTAGAATCCTCATTTGCTGAGTTTTATTCTAATACTCTTCTTACGGTAATACTATGATCCTTAAACTTAAATATACCCTATGGCTAATGAAAGCTGAAAGTTAAGACATACATCTAAGCACAAACCTGGAATTATATACTTTTGGATCTTGCACTAATCCTTTTATGAATAAA